TGTTTAATTACAGATGTAAGCTATGCTTTGCATTGTGACAGACCACTGTAAAACGTCAAGTAACTTATACTCTAATAGGCTACCAGAGCAGTCATGCATAACTTTAAATCCCTTTTCAGCAGGACAGTACTTAAACTCTTTGATGAATCCAGGCCTATGCATTCAGCAGCTTCTTCCCTTTCTCAGCATGGATTTAGTTATGTGAAGCCAGAAATGCCCTTTGTATGTTTAGACTTCGGGAGCACATTCAGCTGGAGTCTAGCCTTGCACCTAAGGTTAGACCTCTGCAGTAATTCAACTCTGCTTGTTCTGGCTCTGAACAAAGACAAGCAGGGTTACAGGGTTACGTTACTCACTACAAGTTGAGGAATCAGCTTTCCCTGTGGCATCATCCTCCCACCGCCTTTCCCAGAGAAACTGCACAACATAAGTAAGGCTCATGCCTTTGCCATTATCATGCTCTAGTGGCTCAGTTCCAACGCGTAGCCATGTACCACCTCATTATTTATATCCTGCTAGCATCTTATTCAGTTCCTCAGCTTCCATCACAAATGCATTGGGATAACTGCTTTTTTTCCTGGATAAGAGGCTGATTATAACTGCAGCTTCTCTGCAGGGGTCAGCACCTCCTCCACATGAATATGATAAGGTGCTCTGAGTGCCACCTCACCTGCAAATGGTATTTTTCCCTGCAGAGTGACTTCCCACAGGGTGCAAGCTGCTATTGAATTTCTGTGGTAATATTTTAATTTAATAACTTAATCTAAGATTTAATGGCTTTCTTTCCTGTGCTTCATAGTATAATTAATTCATATGATGGGAACTCATTAGACTTGGGGATCTGAGATGCATCTGGGCATTAAGGGACTATGAACATGTAAACATATGTTAGGACCTATTTGTGGAGGGCAGATTCAGAACTATTCAAAGAACAGACTATTATTAGAGATGAACAGAAACTACTTTCTTAATAGTTGGCCAAGTCTTTTAATTGTATCTGTATTTTGTAATAATTTTTATAATATCAACAAAGGTCTGGTTCTCTGATGTTCAAAGTGGCTGAGCCCTAGGCTTCCAGAGCATGGAAGGTCTGGTCCAACACCTTCAGACAGTCCCATGAAGGCATGTGTGCTTGTCCAGTACTTGTAGGCACTTTTGCCTCTTGAAAAATTAACTCAAGCAGATACTACAGAGACACAGGAACACCTTTGGGTCCCATGGATATGCTCCCCACTGTGTACCCAGTGCTAAGGGTAGGAAGCATTATAAAGGAGAGCAGTGCCAGCTGGCTTCTGTGTGAGCCTTCTGTGTGAGTTGTACATAAAGGCTTATTCTCCACAGATAAGCACATAAGCACAGCACATATTTTTATGTCTTGATCTTTCCTTCTGGAGTCTGATCTTGCTCTGTCCAATATCTGTGGTGAGCCAGGTATACCTGTGTACCTGTTTTGCTCAATTAAACCATTTCCAAGGACGTGACTTATCTATTTCATGGTCCAGAACATCCTCATTTCATTTCCTCTGCCCTCTGGTGACTGAATTGATTAATACTATGTAAACACCTTGAGACCTGCAATATGGAAAGAACAGAGTTTGCCCCAGAACGGTTGTTCAGAATAGGACAAGATGGAAGAAAGCCAGGAGCAATGAGAAACTAGATCCCAGACCTTTATATTGTCTTGAGCTAACTTGGTGGATGCCTCATCCTTGAAGACATTTAAGGTTGGGTAGGATGGGACTCTGAACAGCCTGATTGAGCTGTCGGTGTCCCTATTCAGTGCAGAGGAGTTGGACTAGATGAAATTTAAGGGTCCCTTACAATTCAAACGATCGTATGGTTCTAAGAACTTGGTTCTTACCAGTAAATTTCCATTGATAATCTTGACAAAGCAACAAAGAGAGCCTACAAACAGGAGGGGAATCAACTCTTTGAAAGGGTTGACAACTGCAGGACTAGGGGAAATGGTTTTAAGTTGACAGAGGGAAGATTTAGGTTGGATGCCAGGGGAAAACTCTTTACAAAGACAGTGGTGAGGTGCTGGAACAGGCTGCTCAGAGAGGTTGTGGATGCCCCATCTCTAGGGATGTTCAAGGCCAGACTGGATGGGGCCCTGAGCAGCCTGCTCTAGTATTAAATGGGGAGGTTGGTGGCCCTGCCTGTGACAGGGAGTTGGAGATTCATGATCCTTGAGATCCCTTCCAACCCTGTCCATTCTGTGATTCTGTAATTCAAGTTCCAGCATGGGGACTGAGCGCAGTCCTTGGTAACATAACGACTCAGTGAGGCAAATGGCTCTTACTGAGTGTTTGACGTGGATTTCTAGCAAGCTCCGTATGGTTCTAATGAGCCCTGCCAGCTTTTCATGTCCAAAGGGTGCTCTGAGTAATCTGTTTACATCTGGCTTCCTGATCAGGGCAGCCAAGCAGCCTTTTGAGCTAGTACTGGGGAGAGGCCTATATGACTGTTAGGTCTAGCATATAGCTGGCAATGTGTGGCCAACAAATGCAACAGTGTGCACGAAAGGGTGAAGGAACCACATACAGATGCTCAGCAATGGTGGCAATGTGCTACAGAGTATGGTCATCTGTACTACTAGCGCAGCTGTCAATGGAATATCTCACAGCACAGCACAATCCCCATATGCAGCACAAGCTGAGGGAGTATATAGGGTGCCTGCTGGACCAATGTTGGCCGGGGGGCTGCAGGGCTTCCATGGGCAGAGACTGCGGCTGCCCTATGCCAGACACAGTCAGTTCCAGCTGGCTTCAATGGCTCCACCACAGTGCACAGCTGAGCCCAGCACCAAGCTGGTGGATCTTTGGAAAAGCAGATTTCAGCAATAGCAAGAAGGTTCCCTACAGTCGGTTACACAGGGAAGGATCCAGGCAGATTTTGAATATCTCCAGAGAAGGAGATTCTACCACTGTTCTGGGCAGCCTGTTCTAGTGCTCTGTAGGCCTCATAGTAAAGAAGTTTCTCTTCATGTTTTTATGAAACTTACTCTGTTCCAGTTTGTGCCCAGTGCCCCTTGTTCTGTTGCTGGGCACCACTAAAAAGAGCCTGGCCCTAACCACTTGACTCCCACCCATTAGATATTTACAAGCATTGATAAGATCCCCTCTCAGTCTCCTGAGAGACTGTGTGAACCTGTGTGAACATCCCCCACGTTAGTCAGCTTTCCTCATACAGGAGACGCTTCAGGCCACTGACCATCTTTCTTGCCCTCCACTGGACTCCAGATGCTCTCCATTTTTCTTGAACTGAGGAGCCTAGAAACGAACATAACATTCCAGATGTGGTCTTAACAGGGCAAAGTAGACAGGGAGAAGAATCTCCCTCAACTTGCTGGCCACAGTCTTTGTAATCCACCCCAGGATACCATTGGCATTTTTGGCCACCAGGATAATTATTGCTGGAAGGGCAATGCAGCAGTGCACAAGAAATCACAGAGGTTTATGGAGTACCTCCAGAGTTTCCTGACTGATTGGGTAGCCAGCGAGAGAGAAATGTTCTCTAGAGCATACCTGCAAACAAGTATGAACTGGTAGAGGATGCAAAGGTGGGGGCAGCCTTGGCTGAAGGGACATGAGATGAAACATGGCAAGTAGGATTTCAGCCTGGTCTTCAGAAGAGCAGAACTCTTGCCTGTTCAGGGCTCTGCTTGGAAGGATCCCATGGACACAGTCCTGGAAAGGGTTTCAGGAGAGCTGGCTGATATTCAGAGATCACTTCCTCCAAGCTCCATAATGGTACATTTCTCCATGCAAGAAGCAAAGGTGGCAGGAGGCTTGCATTGATGATCAAGCAGTTTTTGACAGAAGTAGAACATGTAAAAAGAAGTCTATAAGAGGCAGAAATTTGCCCACAAGGATCATAGTTTTCTATTCATGGAACCTGACTGGATGTCAGCAACCTGTTCTAGCTGCTCATGCTTGGAGAAGGACAATCTCCAGAGGTCCCTCGATTACAGATTTTCTCTTTTTCTACAAACCTGTTGCTCCCCCTCAACACTCCCTTCTAGTGCTTAAACACCTTGATCTCAGCTAACAAAATCTGCCTCCTGCCACAATGCCTAGCTTTGAGAAAGAAAATGTATAGTAACCACTCTTGCAAATTAAAACGAGACCACCTTCCTGTATAATGAAAATCTGATGAGGCCATAGTGGTGGGTATTTATACAGTATCACAGAGATGTGAGCATAGTTTCAGGATGGAGAAAGATTGCAATTTCATTTCCTCTTATGCCTGAGTAGGATTTAAATTCCCATCCATCACTTCCACCAGTTTTGTGAGGTGAGGACTTTCATGAGTGCTCTTGCTGGAAGTTATCTGGAGCACAGCAAAGAGATGACTAATGAAGGAACCTCAGTACAGAAATCCCACTGCTCAGAGCAGCCAGACCTGAGAGCAAAAAAATCATCACAGTTCATCTCCACCTAAATGCATTTTACATCAGCCTATTTCTGGCTCAGGTGTGAAGCTCCGAAATAAAAGGACAGTGCAAATACATTTTTAAGAAGTTCCTGCTCAGCATCTGAGGTCATGTACATTCTGGGTGGTATATGAGGCTTCTCTATACCGTATCCCTCCATCCCTGGGCACAGACTGTGAAAGAAGACATCAGCTGTGTTGCTTCATGTAATTAGAGAACCTTCTGAGTGAGAAAAAGGCCCCAAACTTGAAGATTCTGAAAACAAGATAAAAATTAATAAATGAAGCTTCAGATCTAGAGGTCTCCAATGCTAGGTGGCAGCTGAGCGGGAATATCAGGATATTGATTCAGACACCTGACTGACATTTTTGGTTCTTCATGTTATCTTTCAGATCTAATATAAGACACCTGAAAATTCAGGCATTTGCAGTCACATAGAGCACAGCTGGGTGCCTCACACATCTTATTCGAAACCACCTAAGTCTGCACTAGAGCTAGAAATTAAATGTTATGGTGAAATCCCACCTGTGGCCCCGATCCTTAGAAGCTGCTGTCTTTGTTACAGGGATTTGCCTCTGTCACACCTGTGAGAAGACCATCAAGGACAGCTGCAGCCTTCAGAAGACCAAAATCTCCACTAATGCTCTCAGCCAAGGACCATCTTGTTACAGCTGAATTTCCTCAGGAAGGTTTCACTCAAAGTATTCTTGCTTGAGCTGACTTGATGCTTTTGCATGAAATTCAAACAACTTCTAGTCAGGACCTCAGGGAAGTAAGGTTCAGTCACTGTATCACTGTCTTTGTAGTCATGAATGTGTACATGGTGAATAGTTTTGACAAATTACATGCCATTGTACATGGTGTGACTACTTACTATCAGGCAGAACATCACTTTCATCCCACGACTGGAGTATCACACAAACCAAATAGTTGTACAGATTTTCCCAAAACTCCCTGTGAGCTCTGATGTTTGCTCCTTTCTCCTTCTCACAAACACTACATCTGTTCCTTTAGCAGTTGCTGGCACACAAGACAGGCCTGGGTGCCAACTAATACTATATGATCTTTTTCCGAATTCATTTTCCACTTTTTAAATTAAATTATGTGCCAGATCCTCAGATTTAATACTGCCACTGCCTATTAATCAGTTGATGGTCTGGCCTTGCATAGAAGTTGTTTGTTTTTTCTTTTGAGTATGAACACAACCAAGGATTTACATTTCAATCTGACGTGAAGCCAGTGAAAACATTGATAGTTTTGTGCCTGATGTATCCGTCATGAAAGAAATCACTACAATTTTCCAAACAAGCTAGGAAAAAAAAAAAAAAATTTTTTTAGAGGGAAAAAAAAAAACAAACCAACAAAACCCCAAAAAATACCAAAACAACAAAGAAAGGAAAGATTATGAAAGATACTATAAATCTTTTATTTCTTTTTAGTTACTATGCAATGCCCTTCATTTTGAAGGAAATGGTACAATCAATGATCAGTACTTCTTTCTCAGGAAAAGAAGAGATATTTGCACTAACAATTAACATTCATTGACAAAAGACAGTTTACAAAAAATGCTCATGGAGTTAAAATCATATTTTGTGATTACACTGGCTATTGTAGATGATTCCATGAAGTATTACAATATCAGGAATTTCAGGTGTGCATTGAAAGAAAGCTTCTAATTCAACAATAATGCAAAAGAACCACCTAAACCACTGATGTTTGAAGAAGCTGCTCTGATTTTTTCTTAGCCACAGTTAAAAAGAAGAGTCTGATCCAGAGAATCTAAGTCCATGATACAATAAACCTTGCCTTATCACCGCACATTACTTTATAGAGTAGCCGAGTCAACACATAAATAACAGTAGCTTTCTCACAAATAGAAACTGCTGCTGGAAACAACACATTTCCTACTTTTAGTTACTCATATCTGATCAGTTGTGTAAGATTTGCTTTCAAAAGAAATATTTGTTCCTAACTGGCTGCTGGAATTACAGTTATGTGGTTAATTGTCAGGAAAGCACAGGCGGCAAATGACTCAACAAGCCTCACACACCCTTTGGCAAGACCCAAAGGGAGAAAGAAAGAAAAAGAAAACCGCTGTTATGGTCAAAATCTGAAATATATTCCACACAGAACACCTTTTTGGTACATGGAGTAAAATACTGAATTTAAAAGAACGAAATAGTAGAAGCGGGCCTAGAGCTGCATTTATACAAAACAATTAAAGTTTACTTCCATAGTCCTTCGGTCTGAAGGATATACTCTTCTGAGCAAAAGCTAGTTTTTGAAGTAGCTTCTGTTTTTTTTTTTTTTTTTCCCCCCCTCCCCATCTATCCTACAACTCTACTACTGTGTTGTCCAGCTGAGCTACAGAGAGCTGTAATCAATACTTCATACTCACACAGAATCAGGGAAACTTGAAATAGTCTTGTTTATATCTTTGTTCACTACCATGGAAGGTAAGTGTCTGAATTGTATTTTTAAAACTACTCAATCAAGGAATAATTGTAGGCTTCATTATAAAGCCATTTCTGTGGCATTATTTTATCAAACCTACCAAATAGGTGAACGGCTGGACTGGATGATCTTTTAGGTCTTTTCCAACCTTGGTGATTCTATGATTCTATGAATGCTCTAGGGAAGTAAGACTGCTCATCTCGATTTCCTAACTGGAACTACTTTTTCATTTCTGGGGCTTTGTCTTGCCAGCCTTACCACGTGCAAAATGACGTCCACAGCAGTCTTCCCATCGGTAACAGTGCAGACATCTAAATGAGTAAATTCATACAGGGGAAGTTCAAGCACAACAAGACCAGGACACCAGGAAGCAGTCTGCACCACGACTGTCAGCTTAGCATGTCACTGCTGTGTAATGTGTTTGCCTCACCACTCGCTGAGTCAGTGCTGCTCATGGATTTTCAGGGGGAAACTGAGGCCAAGCTTTGGGCTGGATGCCATCTGCTTTGTTTGGACAAGGGCACTTTGAAGAAGAGCTTCCACAGTGCTTCTTGTGCCCTCCCCACAAACAGGCAATGTCAGATCCTCACACTCCCACCAAAGACCTTGGATCAAGATTCCAGCCTTATTCAGACAGAAATGCACATACTTAACTTCAAGCACATTATGAGTTCTGAGAATTTTTCCAAGTGGCTCAACTCAGCATAGGCCGTGTGCTAAATCAGAAGCTCTGCAGAAGGATCACACCTTCACTTCTACACCTTAAAGAACGAGCTCAGAGAACAGCACTTTCATTTATTCACCCACCCCCCCCCCCCTTTTTTGAGCAACAGAAAAATCTTGAACTACACACACACAAACACACAAAAAAGTCTGTTTTTCCCAAGAGATTATTTGATTAAAAAACAAACAAACAAACAAACAAAAAAAACTGTAGAAATCCCAGTGTAGCCTGCAGAAAGCAAATGATTACAGTGAAACGAAAATGAGAAGCTAAGCAACTGCAATGTCCTCCTATGGCAATTCTAGTCCACACATTATGAGCCATGGCTTTAAAAACCTGCCTGCTTAGAAATGTTTGCAGTGGTGTTCACAGCACCTATTGAATAACACTGCCTAATCAACAGGTAGGGAAAAAAAAAAAGACCCACCTGTTAAAGATTCAACAGTCATTAGCTGTTGGGGTAAGAAATCCCTGTTAGGACATAGAAAAAACAACAAAACCACTCCTAAAAAAAAATTGGGAACAATGGAAACCCACTTTTTCAAATAATGGAGTTGCAGGAGACAGAATAAATCCCCAGCATAACATGCAGAACAATGTATTTCAATATCTACATTTTAAGCACTGAACACCTGAACTGCAGGTGCCAGAGAGGCAGACAGGTTTTGTAACACAGCTGACTGCATGCCAGGCTGCTTTGCTGTGAGCAAAGCCCTCTGCTCAGCTCTCTATCCTAGAGGGCTGTGCAAACTCTGGGATTCTTTGTTAAGGCCCTTATGCCTGCATAGGAATTGATCCCAAGAGGCATGACCGGTACAGGGAAGCACCAAGATCAGCACAAGACGTGATTTCGGTTGGTCAAAGCTTTGCTCTTTGTTCTCAAACAGATTTGGTCCTTTTTTCCCCCCTTTGTTTAAAAAAAAAAAAAAGAGAGAAAAAAAAAAAAAAAAAAAAAACACAGAAAACAAAGCCAGACCACGCAGGATATCTCAGGAGAGAAATGGCTGTGTGTCATAGTTCTGATGTTTCAGACACAAGGGAAAAATATTTTCACAACTAGTTTACTGTTTAGTACCCTGTAGATACATAATATTTGACATTTATAGCAGTTTCTATACTTTATGACCCAGAATATATTTTAGATCATTAATGAAAAATAAACCCATTCAGAGGACTGGAAAATAATGTGCATAACAACTTACTTTCAAATGCAAGGTTTTGATGGATTATTTTTTTTTAAACTTTCAAAAATATCTGTAAGAAAATATTATTTTACATACATATATTACACAGAGAAATAAACTTTGTTATGTACAAGGGTCAGTATGAAAGAAACAACAGGCAGACATTTACTTGTGGTCTAGATAACCTCAGTTGTTGTATACGAGTCAGTACAGCACAGAGTCTCCATTCTCTTCTGGACTTACTCCATGATCATTTCAGCTTTCAGCATTTAATTGTATGAAAGCTGCATGCATCCCTCCATACACAAACACTACTGCAGTCAGATATGGGTTGTTACCATACTTTTTAAAGCAAGGTTGCACATTTGCTTGACAGCCACACCGACACGAGTACGACTCTACTGCATATTGAAGAAAACCATCAGTGCAGTCACCTGAGCTATAGCATTCTAACAGAGCTGAGTGTTAAATTCTCTTTTGGGTTTGAGCATTTTGCAGTCCAAAATGAGAACACAGAGTCAATAAGGAAACACTGTATGGTGTATTTGCATAACCTTAAAGCCACATTTCCTCTGGAAGCAAGGCTAAAGGAGTTTATCACTGCCTTGTTCCCCCCCAGGTTGTGTATCTTAGGAAGAAAACAACTCAGATTTATTTAAACCATATTGTCAAAGTTGCTTTATGTAGTTATAACTAATCAAAAATAGGTATCAACTTCTTAGTCAACAACCTTTGCTCCCAAGGGGTAGAAAGGACATGGAGTACTTTGCTATTTGTGGTATAACCATAAACAACCGCAGGGAAGACGGCAGTAACAACACTTCTAAGTGTACAGCACATTAATTGCTGTTATTTAAATGAACTCAAGCTTATCTTCAGGTTCGCCTCTTCACTATTGTGCTTTTAAAGGGAAGGAATTTTGTATTATAAGTGGCGTCCAAATCTGTTTGCTCACACACTTAAGATCTCAGGACAATGATCTGATGGTGCCCACGTGGGAGAACAGTTCAACAGCTGAAAGCAGAATTCAGGAAACATTCAAGGGAGGCAGTGCTGCACCCCCCAACCCACTGAATGGGGGACCTACACTACAACTCCCGAGGCATATCCTCTCTTCTAGTGCTATAGCTAAGCTGCACATCATAAAAATTAGTACAAAATAGGGAAACATGAAGTTTCTAAAGAGGAAATTGCTTTGTGACAAGGGGGGAATAAAATGAACACCCCAACCCCCCTGCCTTCCTCCTTCACTCCTTCCCATCGCAAGGAGGGAGTGCTGCTGTGCAGGACCTGTGCCACACTCCCAGCCATGAGACCACCTTCTTGAGGGGCAGCTTACTGGAGATGTGCTGGTGCACAGAAACAGCCTGCTTCTATGCTCACCACAGATGTCATCTGGATCTCTGCTGCTTGCTTTATGGGAAGCCTGTAACAAGCTCTAGCAGAGCTCAGTATGTGCCTGTAAGAGCCCAGGCACGCACCAATGCACAGACTCTGCAATCAGGGTTGTGAGATTCCTCCTCCCTGGGAATGGTCAGCAGTAACAGCTGCTCTCTTCCCAACAGAAGCACGTGCTGCTAGCAAAGACAGAGCTCCCCCAGCCCACCTGCACATTTCTATTAAGAAAGCACCAGGCATATCAAAAGCATTTCACTGAAGTCAGCACTGATTTCTCCCTTGCACCTCCTGTGGAACTGGCCACCCATCCATGAAGCCTAGCACCACGTAAGCAAGCAAGCAGCCTGTTGCAAGACCAACTGAACCACAACTGAAGAGAAATGGGCAGACAAGGGACAGCAATACATCACACTTCCCAGCTACCAACTGATCATACGCTCAGATAAACATGGCCATGTCCTGAAGTTGTTGGCTCCTTAATACTATTAAGTACTCTTAACTTCTGCCAATAAGTAGATGTCAAAGGCATTTAGCATCCCATAGGGTCAGGCCTACTGGCAGATGGTGGAGGGAAGGGCGGGCACAGAGGAAGGGAAAGAGGTGGGAGCAGAGAAGGATAGAGTTGCCCTGAGTTTTATCCTCTACAATAAGTCAGTGGTTTTTATCATCAAGCACTGAAGGAGTTAAGCACTAAAGCACAGACACTTAATCAGCTTTCCCCCTTCCTTTCACATGTGATCGGAATGAAGCTGCACTGAAACGGCCCAAAGGGTTTATAACAGCTCAATTTCGCAGCCTTCCGTTTTAATCCCCATCACCCAGCCCGAGCAGCATGGCAGTGCTAAGGCACTACTCCACAGCAGTCCGGGCACCTGGATGGTGGGGATGGTCTTCCTCATCCTCCTCATCCTCTTCCTCTGCAGCCTGCAGGTGGCTGGAGAGCTCCTGGATCACGGCAGCCCTACCAATCTGGTCATTTCTCCTCTTCTCCATGATCAGATCCTCCAGGCTCTGAAACTCCAGCGTGTGGCTGCGCTTGTCACCCAGCCGGATCTGCAGGCGGTAGGGCTGCTTGCCGATGCGCAGCTCCCCGCCGATTTTAAACTCCCGCTTGCCATAGCGGCACCAGGCAGCAAAACACTCCGAGTTTCTCCAGCTCAGGTCCCGGTCCTTGCAGCCCACCTGCTCCAGGGCATTGCGTACCACCACGGCCGGGCTGAGGGGTTTGTAGCGGTACAGCTGGTTGGCAATGCGGCCCCTCCTGCCCTGGCTGGCATCGGTGAGGAAGCTGTTCACCACCTCCAGCCTGTGCAGGTGCACAACCTGAAAATCCCCCACGTAGACCACCCAGTGCGGGTACTGGGCCTGGCACACAAACTCCACCAGGTCGCCTGGTTTGCAGCGGTTCAGCAGGTTCTCTGGGGTGTAGGTGCTCAGGTGCCCCCTGCCTCCTTCCTCGCCCTCCTCCGGCAGCACATCCTCCTCAGAAAAGCTCTTCTGGTAGATGCACTCATCCCGGTAATAAACAGAGCACTCCACCTCGTGCAGCTGGGGATCATAGGGCTGCAGGGCAGGGTGCTCACCCCCGAGGTCATGTCCCGAGTCCTGCTGCTGCTCCAGCTCATCGTCATCATTGGAAAAGATGTAGGAGACCCCGATCCTGGGCCCTTCATCTCTGTCCATGCCCGTTGGGTCAGCCGTGGGGACTTCCTTGTAGTTCAGATGGGTCAGCTTCTCCACCTGGTTCCCCATGCCTGCTGTAACACAGACACAGCAGGGCCATCAGGAGGCCAGAGAGACAGCAGAGAGCAGAATTTAGAGCACAGTTTTCAACCCCCACTTCACGCTGCAACACGTGAAACAACAGCCCTGGGAGTACCCGAGGAGGGATGAAGGCGATGGCCCCGGACCACCGCCAGCGCCCAGGGGCAGGCGACGCAGCGCGGCCACCTGTTATCCGGCAGCGAGGAGGAGGAAAAAGGCGCCCTAGGAGCACCAAGCCACCTGTTAGGGACCGAGGGCGCGGCTGAAAGGGAGACCGGAGGTCCGAGTCGGAGACGGCGGAGTTCCACCCCCCGCGGAGGTGAACCTCCCCGGTCCAACTCGCCCCTCCGCCGACACCGGGCGGCTGCAAACTTACCACGGAGAACGGCAGCGCGGTGCCGAGAGGCTTTAGGGCTCCCGGTTGGAGGCGGCGCGGCTCCCGGGGGCGGGTGCGATCATGGCCCCCCCGGCCCCGCTCCGCACTCCCCACAGCAGCAGCGCCCGCAGCCGCGCTGCCGGCACTCGGGGCTGTGCAGGAGGCGCGGGGAGGCACGGCCGAGAGGAGAGAGGCTGGATCCGGCTGTGGACGCCCCGGCGAGAGCTCAGCCCCCAGCATTTAAAGAGGCAGCGCTTTTTTTTTTTCTCTCTTTTTTTCCTCCCTTCCGTCTTTACTCCCTCCTTCTCCTTTTCCTCCTCCCCGCACCTTTTTCTTTCTCCTTGCCCTACATGCTAAGCGCTCTGCTCCCCGCCGAGGCAGATCCGCGGGCGGAGGTCGGACGGGCTGTTTGCGCTTACGGCTGCGTGTGCAACGCGCTCACGCACCAACTCACACGCGTGCTCGCACGCGGCCCCTTTAAGGGAGCGCTGCCATGAAGCGGCACAGTCCGCCGGTTCGGAGAAGGGTTGGGATAACCTGGAGCCGGAGTTTGCTCGGGACGGCGCCGGGAGGCGACGGAAAGCCCCGTACGGGGCCGTGGGGTGATCCCGCTGCACCCCTATGGGGATCCCCGCCCGCAGCCCCGTCGGGAGCTGCCGGCAGTAGCGGGGAAGTTGTAACGCAGCGAAATCACAGAGCCCGGCTCTCCTGGGCTGACTTGGTGCCTTGCATTCCTCCATGAGTGGAGCGTGTAATTAGTTTTATTAATAAATCTCTTTTCTTTCCGACTCCAAGAGATTGCTCTCTTTTTCAATATAGAAGATGATGATTCTTTCCCCCTGGAACGGCATTATTGAGACAGGGGGGAGTATTTCTCTTTCTGTGTTTCGGAGAGCACAGCACAATATTCTGCTTTTTCATTAATACCCAGTTAGGCTGCTAGATGGGTATTCTTCCCATTTCCACACGCACTGGTAAATCCATGCTGTTAAAATAGACTACAGAGATAATTTATGGAGCTAGGAGTAATGTCTTTAATTTTGTCTCATTGTCTGTTGCCTTGTAATTTATAAACCCAACTGCACACCGCTGCTCGGAGGATTCACTGAACGATGGTGAGTACAGGAACAGGCGTAGTGTTACAGGGTGCTGGGAGCTGCCTGTAGGCTCAGAGAATGCCATTTCCATCTGGTGATGTGCTGCTGTGGCTTCAGATACAGCCACATGTTTTGGTGTGGGGAGAGGAGATGGGGAAGGGGATGTTTGCAGTGCTCCCTAGGACAGCCCCAGTACTGCAGCAAGTGATGGGCAGCTGAATGGAGACCTCGTGTTTTGGGTCCCCTGGTGGCTCGATTCATTTTTCATCTCAAAGAGGTTTCAGACAACCTCAGCTATAGCAGATGTGCTCCAGCCCCAGGACTAGTTGAGGAAACCTCTACAATGTGGTGAATGTGGATGTCATTTTTCAGCACTACAGTTTCTCCCTCCCTGCGCTGCACTGCTTACTGGTGTAGATACAGATGCTTCCAGACAAAAGGGGGTCCTGCTCCATATGGCTTTGTAAAATTGCTTCACTCCTGAAGGATGGGCACGTGTAAAGATGAGGTTCTGCTGGAAGGAGGAGCTGGACTGAACATAAAAGTGACTTTTTCATTTTCTTGCATTTGTGTTGGAAGCTGTATCTCAGCATCCTACCTTACCATCTTTGGACCAGTTTTATTTTGTGACTACAACATTTGGGCAGCCTTCTGATGAAGGCCGGGTGTCCTTTTCAATCTGCAGCAGTGTGAAGGAGGCTATGTCCATGCAGGGGCTCAGCATTGTCTGGAGGAGCACTTGCACGTGCCTGCACATCTGCATGTATTTGCTGCTGTCTGTCTTTTTCTTTCCGTCTGCTTCAACTCACCCCAGTGCTTAATTTTCTGCATCTTGTCAGCTGCTTTGATTTCTTTGATCTCTTTTAGTTTCCTTTCAATGGCTGTTCCTCAAAATCCACATTCTCTGATCAATCTGCTTTCCACGATTAGAAACCTTAGGCAAGTGTTTTTATGTCGCAGAACCCATACGTAATTGCATACTGTGCCTGTAGATAAGGCATTGGATAGAAAATCCACAAAGGACTTTTAGTGCCTATATATCACCTGGGCTTGTGTCTAAAATTACGATGCTTAACACTGCTGTGTGCTTAACTTCTAAGCCTTGAAGCAGCCAACCTGCATGGGCACCAGGGCTAGGGGTGGTGGCAGTGACATGCTGTCATGGTGAATGTGTTTTTAAAGGGAGCGCTGACCTCTTGCATAGCTTTTGCAAAAAGGTCTTTGGTGCTTATCTGCTAAAGATAATCCAGCCTGTGGATCTTGAGTGAAGGGAAGACAAGCTGCACAGCACTGAGCTGGAAGCCCAAGCTGCAGTAGGGCAGAGTTGAAGACACACCTCTGACCTCGCTTTGGATGTTCTTCAGTTACAAGAGTGCTTGCTCAGCGAGCTGCTATTTGGAAACCAGTTGTGAGGTATTCAGCTCTGGGCACGTGTCACAGAGGGAACTGAGTGCTGTGAGCACATAGAGCTGTGCTGTGTATCTGCAAAAGCCAACAGGAGTGTCCATGCTTTCAGTACTTACTAGAGCTTATAAAAAGATGGAGAATTACTTTACATGTGGTCTGACAGTGATAGGACAAAGGGGAATGTATTTAAACTAAAGGAGGGAACATTCAGGTTAGATGTTAGGAAGAAATTCTTTACTCAGAGAGCGGTGAGGCATTGGCACAGGCTGCTGAGAGAAGCTGTGGAGGCCCCATCCCTGGAGGCAGTCAAGCCCAGGCTGGATGGGGCCCTGGGCAGCATGGTGGGGGTCAGCCACACTGTGACAGGGGATTGGAGCGGAGTGAGCTTTGAGGTCCCTTCCAACACAAGTCATAAGGTAACTCACCAGGGTCACTGCCTGGTCCCAGTTGCTCATCCAGACTGCATAAGTATTTGTACATTCTAGATTCTCTTTTTGGAATGAAATCAGTCCCGTTGCAGACAAAACCCAGGTGTGGTTTTAGGGCTGGTTCACTCCAGGCAGACATATCATCTGAGTTCCTGCAAAGACTGCAAAGACTGCAATGAAACGGGTGGACCTGCATGAGGTCTGGCTCCCTCTGCTCAGCACAGCCCTCCAACATTTTCCCAGCTGAATTTGCACATCCATATGTTCTTAAGCTATTGCTGAGTGCAGCAACACATATCTTTGGCTTCATGTCATAAAAATACCATCCTAGTGGGTTGCAACATGACTTGTAGGATATTTTAAATGTTTAAAATTTTGATTGCCCATAACATGCACTCCAAATAGTATTTTTCTGTCTAGGGACAAAAACCTGTCGTGATGCCAGGCTTTCTGGAAATTCAGTTGCATTGATATATAGTCCAATGATGCATACAGTCCACAGAGATGGCTCTACCTCTTGGCTTACTGACTGTGGGTCATGGAAGTAGAAGATGCATTTGTAGCAGTCCCTGTGGCTATATAACTGATACGGAATCATAAGAATCAGGAATTGTTATGGTTGGAAAAGGCCACTAAGATCATCCAGTCCAACCATCAACCCATCACCACCATGCCCACTAAACCACGTTGCTCAGTCCTACATCTACTCATTATTTATTATAACACCTCCAGGGACTCCACCACCTCTGTGGGCAGCCTGTGCCAATGCCTCTCCACTCTTTCTAATCCAGGGACCTCTGCAGTGATTGCTGTAAACATCAGGCCTGTAGTTTTGAGAATGAGGCATCTAATTTGTTTTGTTGCTCCATTATATTTAATCTTATATGCATCCTACACTGAGGACTTAAAAATGTGATGCTAACTTGAAACCATACCTCATCCTTACTTGGATGTGAAATGCTGTGTTGCCATTGTTATTATTATTTAAAAAAATCCACTATGAGAAGATATTCTTTTTGTGAGTATTTATGTTTTCTTCTTAGCGACCAGTCATTCTGTGCATGACAAAGTTCAGTGTCACAGTCTGTAAACAAGTTGTGTTTACAGGTATTCACCCAGCTGATGGCTATGACACACTTGAATTATTTAATTGTTTCAGTTTCTTTTTTTTTTTTTCAGTTGAGTTTTATGAGGACTAAGATAAAATATGCTCTGTTTGGCGTGTAAGCATTCTGCTGCATCACAGCCTTTGCAAACTAGAGTGCTTAATTGCTATGGTGTAATTAGGGGCACTGAGGTTATGAAGCACATCCTAGTGAAGTCCATGGGAGTTCTTCCACTGAGTTCTGTAGAAGTCAATCATACCTTAATTGAGGGAGGTGTGGGACCTGAGAGCTCCTCAGCTCATTTCACTAACGAAGCTTAGATGCTGAGTTGTAACATCTGCTTCGTCACCTCTTTGCCTTCCAGTGGAAGTCTCATCCCTGAATAAGGCACCGCAAAGCTGTGAATGCCACTGGAATGAGATTCATCAAAGCCAGCATGCCAGAGCAAGGTGGCAGGGAACAGAAGAGAGCTAGTGTCCTGACAGCTGCTGGAAAGCACTGCTTCCTTTCACTCCTTTACAGCCTAATACTCCTTCAAGGTTAAGTGTTTTAATGAGGTTGGCTGTTTCTCACAATGATGCCTTGTCAGTTAATAAAATGCATTAATATTTCACGTTGCTTCCTTAGGGTATGAAAGACCAAGGTTGAAGCCTCTCATCTTGCTGAAGGGACTTGAACCACTATTTCTCAGGAGAGTGCTGGAAGCCACCAGACTGTTTGCTATTTTTGAGCAAGTTGTGTGCTCTGTCTGTCCCACTGAAGCATTTCATTAAATATCCATTCAGTCAGATGAAAAAAAAAAAAAAAAAAAGAATGACAGTGGCTCTGAGATCAGGTGCAGGAAGGGGATGAGATTGCTTTGAGATTCTCTGTAATAAATATTCACGTCTCATGATCGTGGATTATCTTCATCGAGAGTGATTCAGGCAGGCCCACCAGAAAGATCTGAAAGTTTTGGTTTTAGGGCATGCTTACAGGTGAGTTTTGTTCATGTCTTCTCAGAGTAGACCTTGAGCCTCTGGGTCTCATGTATCCTGCATGACTGCTATAACCCAGTTGTTGTTGGATATCTGCTCATC